CGTATCTAATTTATCATGTACTTTAAATCTAATGATACATAGGATATACATTTGAAAAACTTAAATGATTTAATATATAGAATCTAATGATCTAATAAATATTGTTTAAAAAGTTTAAATTTTATTATGATTCTTATATTTTTTCCTAATATTATTATTATATTTTGCATTATATAATTTTTATGATATGAAATCTCACAAAACTTAATATTATGATCCTTGATATTTTGGACAAGAATTATTGATCATGAGTGTTTGATGCTGAGTAAATATTCTCTGCTTTTCATATCTCGAATATGCTTACATAGTAGCATATTGAGGAAAAGAGTTTAAGAAATATTCGAATCGATTTCATACTTGCTCGTGGCTAAATAAAATAACAAGCTATTAATAAAAAAGAATAAATCTCGTCTAAATGGATTTACTCCATTCCTTGAAGTGAATGTGACAACTTATAATAATTTTGAGGATGGACGAAGATGTGGTTATAGCCATGAACATGGTCAAAATAATTATCTTTATAATCATGATGACCATAATAATACATATCACCACAAAAAATGGATAACTATGAAAAAAACAAGAAAAGAATAAAAATGGATCAAGTCAATATTCTAAAAATGAATATTATAAATGTGGTATGAATGGACATTGATCACGGACCTATTGTACATCAAATGATTTCATTTAGCCTTTTCAAGTCTTGTTGAAAAGAAAAGACTAAAATATAGAGGCTCATTTTATATATCAAAATGGAGGTAATTGAAATTAATAACTTGTTAGCTTTTCTATTTATAAATAAGATATTTTATATTTTCTTATAATTTATATTGCATAGAAATAGATATAAATTTATTCATTTGTGTTTATGAAGAATATATTTATTTATTTATTTTATGTTTATTTATTTAATTATTTTTTATGTTAATATTATATATGTTAATATCAATCTAACAGAAAGCTCTAGAAAAGTGATTATATTATTACCCAAAGCGATAAATTTTTAAGCCTTTAGAAGAAAGAATATATTATTACTTGAAGATATAACTTTAAAAGGCTTTAGAAGAATGAATATATTATTTCTTGAGGTGACATAATTTAAAGAGTCTAGAAGGGCAAATATATTATTATCCGAAATGATAAATTTTATTATAAATGATGTATTATTCTCTCTAAAGTCTTATAAAAATTTGTTGAGTTTCAAAGATATTTGTCTAAATAAATGTCATATTAAGACAACAAATGTGAAAAATATTAAATACTTAAATATTACAATTACATCGAATAGAAAATATGTATTGGAGAAATTATTCGCTTTCTCTTCTAGTCTTTATTACAAATATTGGAATGATTGAAATAAATCCTATAGTAAACCATAAGTTTAATAATTCAAATACTTTTATCATGTGACATGACCAGTTGTATTATCTTGAGTTTTTCATGATGCAAAAAATTATTAAAAATTCATATGGATATCTATTGAAAAGCTAGAAGTTTCTTCAATTTAATGAATTTTTATGTTCCGCATGTTATCAAGGTAAATTAATTATTAAGCCATCACCAAGCAAAATTGAGATTGAATCTTCGGTATTTTTAAAACATATTCAAGGTGATTCAATTCATCCACCATGTGGACTATTTGGATATTTTATGGTTTTAATGGAAACATCTATAAAATGGCACATGTATAATCATTATCTACTCGAAACATGACATTTTTGAGATTACCGACTCAAATAATTCAATTACAAGCATAATTTCTAAATTATGCAATTAAAATAATTCATCTTGATAATGCTAGTGAATTTATCTTCTAAGCATTAAATGATTATTGATTGGCTATTAGAATAAAGGTTGAACATGTTGTTGCTCATGTTCATACTAAAAAATATTTAGCAAAATCATTAATCAAAAGGCTCCAATTGATAGCTAAACCATTATTTAAAGACAAAACTTCCTGTTTATGTTAGGGGATATACAATCTTACATGCAACAATACTTATTCGTATCAAACCTATAAGTTATCGAAATTATCCCTCATTCAATTGATTTATGGCCATGAGCTAAATATTTCTTATTTAAAAATTTTTGGTATTGTTGTGTATCCGTAGTGTTCCTCCATGACGAACTAAAATGGGCGCTTAAAGGAGATTGAGAGTATATATATTGGATTTGAATCCTCTTGAATAATTTAATATCTTAAACCATGAATAAGAGATATTTTTACGAGTTAGATTTATCGATTGTCATTTTGATGAAATAGTTTTTTCAACATTAGGGGAGAGAATTATTTTGAATTTCATTTTAAACTTTAACCTCACACTGTCAACCACACGACTTGCGTCTTTTTAGTATTGCTTGCTCTTCCTCTCATGCCTCTAACTATTTACATCTTTTCTATTTGGTTGGTTACTATTGCTTCTACGAGTCACAACACTAGCTCTTTACATCTTGATTGGTCCGCTAACCAAGGTCCGTTATTGTTGTTTATTGATTTTTTGATCTTGAGGTTAATGTTTTTTTAGCACAAATAACTTTAGCTTAATTCATATGCTATTTTTTAAAAAAATAATTTGATAATGGAAATTTATATGTTTCAAGTATAAAAAGAAATTACTCCTAAGATTATATTATAGTATATGGGATAAAAAAACCCTAAAAATTTCCTTCTTTTTATAGTGCCAACATCACGACTTCTTAATTTAGGTCTCCAAACTATCAAGTCTCGTCAAAATCTATATTAAAATGAGCATACTAGAACTCACAATTATAACAAAAATAGTACAACCTATTCAAGTTGGACTTTAACTTAAATATCTATGCCATTACTCTTTGTGTACAACATGTCTTGTGCATGTATCCTAGTAGTCTTCATCATCTTGTTGTTGAGATTGATTTCCAAAATAGTGGATTGTAATTTCAACAACCAAATTGTGTGCAATGTAGGCTTATTTTTATGTGACTATCAATCATGTTTTATATCCTTTTTTTCTTCTAATAATATTTCAACGAACACGTTGTGTTCGAGCTTTTTTATATCCTTCTTTTTCTTTCATAGCTTCTCTCACTATTTTTTAGTGGCCACCTTAGGAGGAAAAAAAAGAAAAAAGAAAGGATTGAAAAAAGGAAAAAAAGAAAAAGAAGAAGCTCAATTGCTTTTTGACATTTTAGTAGCTAAGAGTTGAAAAATAAACCATGTGACTTGCATGTGCACATGCAACGTTATTTTTGACAAAAAAAATTAGCAAATGTACTAATTTTTAAAAAACTTAAAGTTTAAAAGAGTTCAAATTCAAAATTAAAAATTCAAAAATTTAATTTCAAATGAACAAATATTTAGAAGGGTTTTGACCTATTTAACCCACTATTAATGTCATCAAGGATTAAAGATTTTGATGGTAAACAAACCATTAATTCTAAGTGAAAAGGGATCTCACTTGTAATTAACCTATTCTAATGTACCATGCATGGTGTGTGTGTTTTCTTTATTTTAAAATTTTGATTAATTAGTTTTTATATTTTTAATTTTTTTTTTCTGGTTTCATGTTCTTTTCTAATTTATGTATTATTTTATTTTAAAAATAGAAAAAATAGATAATATAAAATGATTGATGAGAAAAAATATTTTGATTAATTAACTTCTTCTAATGTACCATACATGGGGTGTGTGTGTATTCTCTTTATTTTAAAATTTTGATTAATTAGTTTCTATATTTTCAAATATATTTTTAATTTTTTTATGCCTATTTTCAAATCTATTTTTAATTTTTTTTTTGCCTGTTTCATGTTCTTTTCTAATTTATGGATTATTTTATTTTAAAAAATAAAAAAATAATATAAAATGATTGATGAGAAAAAATATATTTTTTTTAACAAAGGCCTATTAAATTAAACATGATCGATATGAATTAACATAATAGTTAATTAATATTTTAAATTAGAAGACCTATTTAATTATTTTGTAAAATTAAAAGAAACCAATTTATGATTTACTCAAAAAAAGAGTAAATTATAAATTAGCCTATTTAGTTTTGAAAAAAGAATTAATTAGCTCTTCTTATTTTAAAAATTATTTATTTTTTTATATTTTTAAATTTTCTCGTAATTTAGTTTTTCCGTTATGTTTCAATTTATTTATTTTTTATTTTAAGAAATAGAAAAAAAGTAAAAAATAATAAATAAATAAATATATGGAAGGACATATGAGAAAAGTGATATTTTTTAAAAAAATAAAAAAAATGTTAAATTAGATGTGATCAATATTAGGTAAACGACTATTTTTTGAAACAAACAGGACTAATGAATTCATTTGTTGAAAATAGAGAGTTTAGTATATAATTTACTCGGAAAAACATTGATGATTGGGTTTTTTTCTTTTTATTTGTTTTTCTTAAGGCTAGAGAGTAGAGGACTATTAATGTAGGAGCACATTATTTTAAATAAAATAATATTAGATTAAATATGATCATTATTAGTTAAAAGATTGAATAATTATTTTTTGAAACAAACATAACTAATGAATTTGTTTCTTAAAAATAAAGAGACTAATTTATAATTTATTTAGAAAAACATCCACAATTTTTTACAACCAAATTTAATTTATGAACACTCTATTTTAAATAAAATAATATTAAATTATATATGAATAATATTACTTAAAAATTTGCAAAAAAAAATATTTTTTGAAACAAACAGGATGGTTTCTTGAAAATAAATAGACTAATTTATAATTTACTCAGGAAAACATCCATCATTTTTTTTTTTAAGGCCAAAGAGTAGAATGCTGTTATTTTCTAACATTGTATTTTAAATAAAATAATATTAAATTAGAGGTAATCAATATTAGTTAAAAAATTAAAAAATTATTTTTTAAAACAAATGGGACGAATGGATTTTTTTTTTTAAATAGAGATATTAATTTATAATTTACTCCGAAAAAATCCACGATTTCTTTTTTATTTTTTATTTTTTATTTTTTATTTATTTAAGCTGAAGAGTAGATGTCTGTTAATTTAGGAACACTCTATTAATCCGAGTCTCCCTCGGTCATTACCTTACCCAGCCATTGACTCAAATCTGAAATGACCTACTAAGATCCCCAAATCCCTTTCTTCACTCTCCAATCAAACACCACCATCACCACCTCTCACTCCTCTGCTCCACCAAAATGGCCACCAACACCACCAGCACCAGCACCACCACCACCACCACCATCCTCCTCCTCCTACTAATCCACCTCGCCACCACCACCCCCTCTCCAATCTCAGGCCTAGACTCTTTCCTCTCTCATCAATTCACTCTAGACCCTCTGTCCACCAACGATTCCTTCCCCTCCCTCTCTTCCTCCCTCAAAAATCCCTCTCCCTCTCTACCCCTCACCCTCACATACCTTCCTTAATCTCCTCTCTCCTCTCCCTTACCGTCCCACTTTCCCTCAACGTCCGTCTCGTCGGCTCCTCCTTCCCCTCCGACTCCTCCTCCCTTATCAATTCCTTCCTCTCCACTGCCCACATCTCGGACCACTTCCATGTCATCACCACCGACCCCATCCCTTCCCAAAACTCCCACCGTCTTTCCATCAAGCATTCCCCTCACCTCGACATTTCCCACGCGAGCTCCACCCTTTCCTCTCGCCTTTCCGAAGCCCTTAAAACTGCAATTTCCGAAACAACATCTTCCCTCCGAACACCTCTCATTTCCATCCCTTACGACACGGTTGATCGAATTATCAAGCAAGATTTTGATAGAGAAAAACCGGTGCAAGGGGTTTATGTTTATTTGATTTATTTGGGTTCGCAGTCCAAGAACTATGCCTATACTTATTCTGCTGGAGATACCTCTCCTGGCTTTACTAAATGTTTAGGAACTATTTGGACTGGTAAAGAGAGGTACCTTTGGATTGATCTATCTGCCGGTCCTGTGGATTACGGCCCGGCTTTATCTGGAGATGGGGTTTTGCCTAGAGGTGAATTTCACCCTCTTGCAGCAATGCACGGGCGACCCAAGTCGCAAAAGGCATTGTTAGCGGACTTGGCGTCATTGATTTGGAGTGCTTATCAGGTATTACTTGTGCCCTCTTTGAGAATTCCTGTGCATTTTGAGAATTCTTTGATTGTTGAGTTTATACATATTTATGGTTCTGAAAGTGGTAAGGATTTGAGTGGGTTGGATTGGAAGGAGATTGAGAGGACGTTTATGGATGAGGCTAATGCAGGTGGGTTGTTATTAAGGAATCAGCATTTGACGTTTAGGAATTATGAAGTGAATTATGATCAGTGTTCCATCTGTTCATTTGCTATTTCTAGGTCGATCAATTCCTATACTTCGAGGTTCTTGTTTGAAAATTATACTTTGATTGTCAGTGAGTATTTGGACTCGAAGAGATTGCATCAGATATTGTCTGATTCTGCTGAGGAGTTTAGGAGGATGGCGGGTATCCCTGAGGAGGATTTTAGTAGAGCGCTGCCTGTTTATGTGTTTGATTTGGATTACAATACGCTGTTGATGCTTGATCGGTATCATCAATCTGTTGCGTTTAGGGATATGGTTATTGCAGTGAGGACAAAGACTACACAGACCGTGAGTGATTATAGCTGCAATGGTCGTCACGTGTTTACGCATACTAGGGTACTTGGGAGACCGCTTGTTGGTTCAATTCTACAGAGCATGTGGGGAGTGTCACCAACCCATTTGTCATGGAGTCCAAGGCATAACAATACTTTGGTGGATTATACTTGGAGTGTTGGACAAACTCCATTTGGGCCTTTCTCAGAGATTTCATCTTTGTCATTTGTGCAGAAAGATGCAGCTCGTAGAAATGTGCTGTTGACATCATTAAATTACAGTGTATCTAGTGTTATTGATGTTCTTGAATCCATTGTGGCACATGGTGGGGACAGGAATCTCTTTAAACAGAATCGGCATGTTGAGTTCGTCCAGAGATGGAGCCTGTTTAAGTACAAGCTGGACAAAGCAATTTCTGCAATGTCACATTTGGACTTTGACATGGCTTTGTATTACTTGAGGTCCTCTGATCATGATATGTATGGCATTCACTCTCTGGTTTACCATGCATCTCAGGAATTGGAGGCATCGCTTGTTTGTTTCAAGGACCCACCATTTCCATGGGCTTCAGTGTCTATGTCTGCAGTAGGTTTCTTTGCTCTCTTTTATGTTTATTCTAAAAGAGAGAGACTTCTTAGAAATAAAAGAAAGCAGTTTTGAAGCTCTTTAGAGCAATAAAATTTTGTATTATGTGAGACAATACAACAAACCTACATCTGCAAGGGGTACATGTGAAGGTTAGAAATTAATGTTCAGTTTTCTTAATGCTTACTTCAGTTGAGGCTGATATTTTGCCATGTTTTTCATTTTCTATTATTTTCTGTAACTTTGTACTTTTGTGACTTATCTAGATAAATGCTTGTTTTTTCACATTTTGCTGCTTCTTTGTTCCCATCTTTCTTTTCTTCAGTACATTGACTGTCAAGGAAAATATAACCATCAATGCACTTGAAATTCAGGGGAGCTGACTTTATATGCAACGGTTCTGAAAGCTATATATCGTTTGACTTATGCTTTATGATTGAACATGTTTAGGAATTAACATATAAAACTACTGATGTTTATAACAGTAAGGGATTAAGGCAGAACTTCTAGATCCAGTCATAATGCTAAAGCTTATAGAAGTTAGAGACAAATGTTCTGGGCTGCTTAGTTTTTAATGAATTGAAAAATTAAAGCCATGGTTTCAATCTATCTGCTATCAATTTCAATATTTTCTACCTAATAGTACTCCATGGTAAATGTTAATGAGTTCTTAGAAACTTCATTGACTTTATGGTTTGCTGGTGCCATTTATTGGTGCTTTTGAATTTAATATAAAGGATTATTTAGTATTTTTCATGCCTGGTGAATTTGTCGATGTGTCTGCTTCACTTTTGGAGGTCCTTCCAATCAGGTGTCAACCTGAGTTTCTCATTATCATCCGCCTCAAATTTGTGTTCTTGAATTGTATTACTTTTCCTGTTAAAGATCTTAGTTACCCTATTTATATCCTCAATAGTCTGATAAATGCAGTATTGACTGAGAGAGTTGGGGGGTAGGCATTGATATATATCTTTGCATCTTTGACTGCCACACAAACACTTGCACGCATTTGAGAAAATATAGCTGATGGGAAATTACCCAAACTTTTGTGAATTGAAATTAGGAAATGGTTCAGTGTTGAATAGAGAACATGATGCACATTCATTTGCAATGATTTGATATGAGAATCTACTGTTCAGGATTTTCGGAAAAGGTTATTTTGCAAGTTAAAATTGGTGATTGCAGAATGATGGGTGTTGTTAATGCCAGTTACTTGGAGTGGAGTGTAAGCTTTGGAACTTGGATATTATTTCAAGTGGCATGGAGAAGCAATGGCAAGCAACATGTTAGTTATGCATTTCAACAGGATCGATGGACTTTATTATAGTTTCAGGAATTTGGAACTGTAGTTTTGGTGTTAGGTTTCCAATTTTATTTTAGCTTTCCTAGCATTTAATCAAGAATTCTGAAGTTATTGCATTTATAGGTTTCATTAGACTATTAGATTGACTTGATCATGAGAATTTTATCTGATCTTTAAAAGTGAATGGGCAATTTGGGGTGACCTGCTACGTAAACCTTTCCAATTTTGGGCTTTGTTTAAGCAAATCTTGGATTATTATACCTCGCTTTACTTTCACGCTGGTTGTAACTTTTCAGCAATGGTGAGTTAGGGTTTTAACCTGGAAATGTTGTCTGAGGCAATTGGAACGTTGAAGATATAGACTGTGTTGGATGAAGTGGAGAGGATTGATGATGGTTTCTCATTGTTTTAACAGGAAGGTAGGGGCTAGCTTTATGGTAGCGTAGGGTTTTTGGGATTCGGGCCTCTGGTAAATTGATCACTCTTCCTGTAGATTCTGGTGATTTTAACTGAAATGGGACACAAACCAAGCCGAAAACTTGACCATTCAGTTTACCTTGTTGTGAATTGGGGAAGTCATGCAATGAAGATGCGTTCCACCTGAGGTGAGATATACTGTATGGAAGATGAAGCATGGTGGAAGGCACTTTTGTACTGCAGGAAAGTATTCAAGAGGCTTTCAGAAAGATAACGATTGAAGAAGTTGAAATATATATATATATATCTGCAGGCATGAGAACCTCCTCAAACGCAGACATTAGAACCTCTTCTTGAATTGATGGAATAGGAATTTTAAACTTGTTTTGTCTTGTGTTATGGACAATTAACGTTTTGCTGGTTACTTGTCCGGAGGAAAATGTACTTTCACTTGTGTAATTTGGTGTTGACTTCGAAAAATTGATTCATCATTTTGAGGTCTCTAGCATTATTGTTACTCAGGCTTCTATTTTTGGTTGAAGTCAAAAGAAACTTTACATCATTTTCATAGCTCACCCTAACCTTGGTGGCTAAAATTGGAGTAATGAATTGCCAATGATGTACAACAGCAGATCATCAAATGAACAGTTCAGAAGCAGTTGAATTTATATAGAAACTTTTTTCCAACTCGACTGATCAGCAAGTACAGAACAAAAAAGAAAGTCCACTTTTTTGCATCCCGAGTTGGTCACATGAGAGTTGAATAGAATTCCCATGTTTGAAATGAATGAACTTCATATTCGGATTCTGGATCTGGATCCGATTTTGAGAGAAGCTTTGAACAGAACAGAAGGAGTGGGAATGGGAGGGAGGGGAATCAGAGATCTTTTAGTTGTGTTCTTAGTTTGATCTGGTGTGGGTAAGTCAGGAAGTAAGTAAACAATTATTTCGGAATGAGACGAGGGCCAGGTTATAATCATGAGGAAACCCGAAGATTGAGAATTTACAAAGAACATCGCAGTTATTTAAGCACCTGTTGGTCAGCTAATTAAATGTAAGGAACAAAAACGAGCTCATTGGCGTTGCGATTCCATCGGTTACTTCTTGTCCAGTCACAAGACAAACTGAAGCTCTCTTTCTTCCAACCCTGTGCTATCTTTGTTAGGAGAGTAAACAAATGGGATATCCCCAATTCCGTCATAAAAGATCCCACCATATTCATCCTCACTACCTGCCATTGGTTGGTTCTTTATCCCATTCCCATCATCAGTTTCTTCTTCGCAAACATTTGAATTCTTCTCAACCAACTCTCTAAATACCGAAGACCGGAGGAGGAGGCCAAGGGCAGTGGGCGATGAAGTCTTGTTGGAAGAATCTACGAACATATGGTTCTGAAAGACGTCTAGCTTTGGTGGGGAGTTCAGGTAATCTGCAGTGAACTGATTTGGTTGAAATAGTGAGGGTTTGGATTCCTCTCTCGGAATGTAGGTATTTGTCAATGTCGCTCCTGTCTGAGGTTCTGTGACTGCCTGTAGTCCATTAGCAGCAACTTGAGCAGCTACTCCTGGCTTTAGCCATCTGATGTAAGTGCTCAAATCAAAGTTCGTCACCGCATTGATCCCTCTGTACTCAATTGCTGCGATGTCATAAGCCCGTGCAGCCTCCTCTTGTGTGCCTGCTTTGAAAAGTGAAGTTAATTTCTTTCATACCCAAGATTGCTGCTTGGTTTTGGTAAATGTAGGAAAAGTATTCATCTATGAACTAGAAAAAGAGTCAGTTTTGGTCGATCTGACTTACTGTATGTGCCGAGGTAAAGGTATTTGTTTCCAAAAACTCTCCCTATTCTCGCTTCCCATCTCCCATTGTGGTGGTGCCTGCATACATCTCCAAAAATGAATCTTTAGAAATTGCTCTCCGTTTTTAATCTTCAAAGAAGTCGGTTTATGGAATTATCAAGAACATCACCTTGCAACTCCCCTATATTTGGACACACCTCTTGAAAAGCCGCTGCTCTTTCTGTGTCAAAAAGGGGCAGATGTCATTATTTTGAGAGGAGAAACGGGCAATCGTCAGCATTACTTGACAGTTGACACTTGACACACACACACACACACATATATATACATAAAGCTTTTATGTACCTTCTTAACGTTGCCAAATACTCCTCTTTCGTTACAGTTTGCATTATCTCAATCTCTTTCTCATAATCTGATATCTATGGAATGCATCAAAGTGTGTTAGTGAACATATATTTTATATAAACTCCTGAGTCGGGAAATTAGTCTTGAGTTTCATTATCATGCCAACTGAGAGACATTCATACCGGGAAATTGGTAAAAGTTGATGCTCCCCAATACTTCAATGCAGCCAGATCATATGCTCTCGCTGCAGATTCTTCTTCATCATAAGCTCCTAAAGAATTGAAAAGGAAACGTTTCATCATCTATATAAAGAAGAATAATAATAGAATGGCTTCATTTTAATTAGAACTGGTGAAAAAGAGTTACTCACCAAGGTAAACTGCTCAGATCCGATAAGCAATATCAAAGCGCAATCCAATGCGACCAATACAAATTACATTAAAAAAAATATATGAGTATTTGGAAATAAAAATAAACTGAAGAAGTGAAGCAAATCAAAAAAGAAGACAGTATAGAATATCAACCTTGTTTCCCTTTCTTCTTCTGTGTTACATTCCATGAGAGCTTATCCCACAGGTGGGCTTCAAATCGACCTGTCCATCTATGTCTGTTTGATTTAAAGTTTAAAATTTGTTAGCAACTTGTTTATGAGAAAACTTGTGAGAATTAAACACTTTATAACATTTTCATCTGTTAATTAACCTGCTGACACCACGAAATCTTGAGCTTCTCTTCACAGTGGTAGCAGCAGAAGTTTGATCAGTCTGTTGCTGGGGCTGCTGACTTTGATTATCGTCACTACCAAGTGTAACTGTAGCAGGATCTCTTCGCCGCCTTTTGACACCCCGAGCCGCCTGAGCTTCACTGTCTGCAACGCATATGTGGCGCCTTCCAGGGTTTTCTTCATTCTTTATCATCATCATTTCCATTTCTAGTTTCTTTGTTTCTTCGTTTCTACCTCTCTATAATTGGCTGATTCTGCAAGGAGTGTAACAATGCATGCATTCATATATAGCGTGTGTGCATCTTTCGGCTTTTATTGTATTTTGTTTTTGTTGTCGCAGCCGAGTTCCAAGTCAAAACAAGGGAAACGATGATTTCCAAGACAATGCAAGACAAAATGGAGTGTACATATTCTGTTGGCCAGCCCTCAGATAAAAAGGCCTCGGTAATTTAGTTTTTGGATTTGTTTCAGAGCCGGTAGGATGCTAGCTAGCTTGTGGTAAGTGGTACAATTATCAGCTGAAGTAAAGCTAGTTTTGGTCTTAATTAGCACAACTTTGTAGTACTAATAAGAAATATATTTTTACACTGGCGATCCAATTTGCTGCATTGGCGATTGATTTTCTCTTTTAGTTCTATCTGGATATATTTTTAATTGAATGAATTCAAATTTGGTCAACAGTAACTATGATTTAAGCAAATAATTGGGTCAAGAGTAACTACCAGGAACTTAACCTCATGGCAAGAAGCTCTATTGGGTCAAGAGTAACAATGGTTGTTTTGTTTTATCAGTAAATATTTCTACAGTTGTTCTGTAGTAAACAAATACTTGTACGTAAACCAGATTTTGTTTGGTTTGGTGCATCCAGCAGTAGCAGAATTTTCCAGATTACAGAATGTCCTACCGACTTTCGTTTTCTGCGAAAAGAGACACAGCCTGACAAAATGACAAAATGATGAAAACAGTTCACATTTTTGAGCTTCAGGATATTCTTGAATTCATCGCTTAGCATCTTCTTGAATTCATCGATTAAGATTTTTGTTTAGGTCTTCGGATAGAATAGATTATTGTTTCCAATTTCGGGAGCTTGTTGGAGACAATGTAATTGGTCCCCTCTATAGATTCCAAAAGTATTACCTGTGATTCCTATGGAATCAAACAATATAATAATGTTATTAACCAGTGCCTAAACATATATTATATACCTAGGAGGAATCGCCTGAGTGAAGTGCTTGTAATGCTAGCTGTTGAGGTTGTCTGAATATTTTTGAAGGAAGAAAAGTCACTTCTTTATATAATTTTCTATACATGTTCAATAACCATATAGGACTCATTTCCAGGCAAATAAACGTACTGTATGATTACCATGACATGTACATCAAATAAGATGCGGTCTACTGGCTTTATTTGCCAACTCGTATTATATATGCTGCAACATAAAGATGAAATAAAAATGCACCGAGTCCACAGGTTTCTAATTGTATACCAACTCAGGAACTGAAGAAGATTTATTGGTTGGCACAATGACACTGACTTAGGCTAGTTCCATCACTATTATTCGCTATTGATCCATGATAAATTTTGTTTACCTACTTGGGAAGCTACTAAAAGCTGTTGATTGATGAAACATAATCATTTTAGTCTTTGGATTGCACGAACATCGTGTGTTTAACTTAATTACTTAGTAGTCTAGTGAAATCTGTAGTTCCGGAGGACGTAGTTTTAAATTCTTGGTGTGGGTTAGACTCAGATTTGATAGAGCAATGTCATTATGCAAACCCAAAAAAGTTCCACTAATCGAAATTTGTATTCACTAGTAGTTGCTATTAGCATTGGGCTATCATGCGTTGTTTGTTTGCTTCTTTTTTTTTTTTTTTTTCCTTCCTTGGATATATATAGGTAGTGGAGTATTTTAGAGACAATTGTCGTATCAATAGAAACTAAATCCATTACTTTCTAAGCTAATCTATCAACCGATACTCGGTCTATTAATATCGAAACATACTTAGTCTTTAGTCGACCATTGAACTCTTTTTTAAACCAAATAAGGCTAAGTCTAATATTATTAAGAAATTATTATTACTAGTTATTTATGAATAGTGGGAATTAAATATTAGTTTTGATCAATCAAGACAATCTTCTCATGGCTAGGCCATATTCTTTGATTTAAAATGGTAGGATGAGATTTATTACATGGATATGTTTTATATGGTTAGAGAGAGTGTGGAAAAAATACAAAGGAATGATGAATAGAAGGATCAAACAAATACAAACAACAAATAATAAATATTTTAGAGTTAGATTTATAGAAATAAAATGACAGCAATATTGATCAACTAGTTTAAAATTTACAAGAAAAATACATTATATCACGCTTTGAAAGGATGCACAATATATATATATATATATATTAAAAAAATTCCAAAGACAAAAATTTACAAATAGAGATGATGTTTTATGAACAACATTTTAATACTCTTTCTTTCCCTCCAATACTTTGACTCTAGGAGCAATATAAGTCTGAATAGTGTCTTTTTATTCATATTAAAATAATAATAATAATAATAAAATAATAAAATAACTCTGAAACTTCTAATGAAGCCATGCACATGATATGTATAGCGTACACCACCATCCTTCAACATATTAAGAAGACAAAGTAATAGGAAGCTGAACATATTCTTTTTGCGAAAAATGAAATCAAGATCTGAAATTATCATGCAAATTTTTTATTATGCATTTAATTTACAACATTTTACCAAATATTAGCCTTTGGTAAATGGGGTTTTGCCTATATATAATCTATGTATTTTTTAAATTATTTTGATTGAAATATTGTTTTTTTTTTCGCATTGATCGAGTCTATATAATCTTCATTTCATTTTGTTTTCATCCTTTCATTATAACGTCATTAGTTTTTGAGCTAGCATGACACATCCACTCCTAAATTCTTGACTTGTGTCACACGTGAGATCCCAATAAAGTGATTAAATCAAAATAATTTTTTTAAAAAAAAAAATACAATGACTCAACCAACACAATTTGAAGTGTGCAAAGACCAAATTATTATTTTTAATTTTTATGTTATTTCTTAAAAAAAAAAAAAAAAAACCCTCATCCTAAATGCAGGAAATGTGTTATATGTGAGATCCAATCAAGGTAAAAATTTGAATTTTATTTTTTTAATATTATTATAAGTTAAAAACATTAAAATAATATGTAGAAAAAAGAAAGAAAGAAAAACATAACATGCAATTATTAAAAAAAAAAAATAGTGATGTGCAATTTTGATTAGCTACAAATTCTTAGTTAATGAATCTAATCCTTCACAAAAACTAAAAAAAACATTGAATATTTGACAAATTCAAAGTAAAAAATGAAGTTGCTCTCTTAAAAAAACATTAAGGAGTGCACCATATCTTTTAGTTAATATAGATAATTAGATAGTAATCGGTATTACTCGTTGTTGAACATACTTATACTCTCTTCTTCTTTTTTAATTACATGTTAAGTTCTTTCTATATATATTTTATTATTTTTAAATTATTATAATAATTAAAAAAATTATAATTTTATTATGATAAAAATCCACAAATGACACATTTTGAGCATTCAAGATGAAGTATTTAAAAAACAATAATACGGAGATTAAAAAATAATAATTTAGTATATATGCTTTTTGAATTATGTTAATTGAGTCCTTGCACTCTTCAATTTTTTTTTTAGTTAAGTTTCTAAATTGGGATCTCATGTATGACATGTGTCACAAATTTATAAACTAATGACATTATAATTAAAAGATAAAGACAAAACAAAATAAAGAATAGATGGGTCCAATCCATATGAAAAAAAGTAGAGAGTCTCGATCAAAATAATTTGAAGAATACATGGATTATATTTAGAAAATTTCTTTTGATAAACTATGGGCAATGAATTAAATTGAAAAAAAAAAATCAAGTAGAACAAAAAGTTTAAAGTTGAAACAACCATGTTTGACGGAACTTATGTAGTTCCAAAATGCGGTGTCCCCGTTATATAAAAACAATTCATATTTTATTTTAAAATTGAATCTAATTGTCTAATTCTAGGTTATTCAAAACAATTTTTTTTATATATAAAACAAAGCCAAAATTTTTCAAACATATAAAAGTTTGGTGTCCCCAACATAAAAAGGTATTCATATTTTTGCTTTAATTTGAAATTGAATTTAACTATATAATTCAAATTTATTCAAAAGAATTTTGTTTTAAAGAAAAAAATTATGAATCTTATAAGAACGAGCAATGTTTAAGTGTGGAGGAATTTTGATCGGTGCATAATTTATATAAATTTTATTTTCTTTTATATTAAACTTATTAATGCATCATGAGCCTTATTAGGTTGATTACGGATAATATGATGTTTATTGGTTTTGTAGAAAAATGACAACAAAAGCTATTTAGTCCAACCTAAGTACATGATGGGTATTAAGTCCATTGAAGGTTATTCCTAAAAAACACACACATGATTAGGAGAAAAGTTTCTACATGTGTCTTGTTGCCAAAGGAGACACACGTTTATGTGTCTTCTATTCTCAAGTTTCGTCCATGTGTGTGTTGAAGCAATAAAGACACACGACCATGCGTTTAACTCTTGTTAAACATTTTGCCATGTGTCACAACACATACGACCATGTGTGGTGTTTCATAGTCTAGCCTATTTTGTAATTTTTATCTATATATTTAGGTTAGAGGGGAGGCGGTAGAGATAGAGAATTGTTTTGGGCTGAAAAACATATTTATTCCATTATTTTGCTCGATTAGCATATGTAGCTAAATCATCCGTATCGGTTCAAGGGATTTCGAAGCTCTCATAAGCATATTAATGGTAATCCATTAATGTTATTCTTCTTCTCTCTTTAATGCAATGGATTATGTTATTTAAATTTATGTGATTTATGATTTCTACTAGATTGATTTCTAGTTTGGCCAGCTTGATTGATTTTAATTGATTTCTATTGCTAGATCTAGAAATTTTGATACATGTAATTATCCCTTTTCTAATCACCTAATAGTAAATAGTGGTAGGTGATTATAGATAAGTTTTATCTTCACCACTATGAATAACATAACCTAGGTTAAATAATCCGAACTTCGAGATTATTGCTCGGATTGTTCTATTTTTCTAGTTCTTAAAGTCTGTCATGCATTAAATCTAAAGAGCTTATTATAGGTTGTGTTACCGTTAGCATCTAATTGAAGAGTTTGTTTCATTTGGTGATATTTGTGGAAAAATTTGGATAAAAAAGCTTATTGATATCTAGAATCAATAATTTTATAAGAGAAGTCGAATAACCTACTATAGTTATATTCACCGAGTGTGAGAACGGAGATTGAACTAAGAGCTGATTATTTTCTTTATTGTTATTAATCTATTCTACTTATATTTTAAATTGATTAGATAATTGATAAATGGTATGAACTAATTCTTTATGGGATTGATTCTTACTTACTCTGGCTACATTTTAGTAATTATATTTAGTAAGAAAATAACTAGATTATTTTGGGACATTCGGCACGTTACCATCCTAATGAAAGAATGTAACAAAAACACAAACCAAACATTAAAGTATAACATCAGTACAAAATAGAGTAGAGGGACGTTTTAATTCGTTTCCTGAAAATAGAGGGACTAACTTATAATTTACTTCACTAGGAAAAGAAAACCCTTATAACAGCAGGCAAGGGACAAGTAATCACCAATTTGGCGCCCAAAATCCAAGAGAGCGTGAGACGCTCTGTTGATTCGTTCCCAATATAAAGGAGAGAAAAGAAAATCCCTCTGAAACTTACGCTACCTCTGTTTTTCTGAATCAAAGTTTGGCGTAGCAATGACGGACGGTCTTCAATTCAATAATATCTTTCTTGGAGGCCGTGGAGGCACCGTAAGTACTTTCCTTTTCTCTTATCATTTCTCTTTATTTATTTATCAAATGCATAATTTCATTAGTTGTACTCTTGGATATCGATTTTTTTTTTCGATTTTGAAACTATACCTTGTTCGAACCCTAATTTTTTGTTTTTTTTTGGGTACTTTGTAAATTTGAAGGATAAGTTAATCAATTTGTTTTTCTTATTTTTTGTATTTCAATTCTGCTTTTTGAAACCCTAATTTTACTCTAATTCCTTCTTTGTCTGTGTTTTGTGTGTTTGGGTTGAAAATCATGTGTGTAGATTGTGGTTCGTGAAACCCTAATCAGTTGGCTAATTCGTATTTGTTGGATTAAATGAAAAAAGTATGAATAATTGGCAAACAATCGTGAGAAATATGTGTAAAAGATTAAAAAAAAAAAAGTTTAGGGTTTAGGTTTGATAGGTTGCTGAGAAAAGTTGGAGGGAGACATGAAATAGTGTTTTTATAATTTCCATTTCTTAAATTTATACCCTAGTCAATATGATACCTTTTGCTTTCTTGATCTGTTGTGAGTTTCTGACTTTTTAGATTTGAGGCATAATTATTTAGATATTTGTGATTTCTTATTGAGTTCTTCGTATTGATACCCTAATTTGTTGAAATGTCTTGTAAAATTTGGAGTCTTTTATTTATTTATTTATTTGAATGGGGAGCAAGAAAAAGTGATGAAACTTGAAATCTCATATATGTTCACGTTGTCAAATGCAGAACCCTGGACACCTTAAGATTTCTTCAGGGGGCATTTTATGGAAGAAACAAGGTGGTGGTAAGGCAGTTGAAGTTGATAGAGCTGATATTGTTGGAGTGACATGGATGAAGGTCCCTAGGACAAATCAACTCAGTGTTCTAATTAAAGGTGGACCTTGGTACAAGTTTACTGGATTTCGTGATCAGGTTTTTCTGCAATCCCCTTGTTATCTTATTTTCATAGTTGGAAGTTATTTTTGCATTTGTCTGGATATTAAAATTGTGCATATTCAATCTGAATGGTTATCAATGTAAGTTATGGACTATCCTTTCTAACTTTGAACATACTGATCTGCTTTGTACCTTGGCTTATCCCTTGCTGCATGGCGTAATGAACTTCTTATAACATTCAAGTTTCTGTGTGTAGTTGGTGGGTCTCTTAAACGACCACTGCATGTCAGTGTCAGTGACAGTTCATTAGTTACTGCTCCACTGAAGTTTTCAGCTTCCTTTTTCCTTATAAGTTTTATGTTTACAGTTTGTGATTTCTTACCTTGTTCATCTGTTGTTGGCCATGTAGGACTTATCTACCTTGACCAATTTTTTCCAAAGCCATGGAATAACACCAGAAGAGAAGCAGCTTTCTGTTAGTGGCCGTAACTGGGGAGAAGTTGACTTAAATGGTGGGTAACTTTTTTGGACATGCCTTGTTACTGAATTTGTCTTGTTTCTTTATAAGCTTTGTTGTTTATGACTCAATTCTTTTTATTCCATCTTTGTCATTCAGTTGACTTACATCTTCCAACTGTTTGCAGGAAATATGCTTACATTTTTGGTTGGTTCAAAGCAAGCATTTGAGGTATCTTTAGCAGACGTTTCACAAACACAGATGCAAGGGAAAAATGATGTCATCTTGGAGTTCCATGTGGATGATACTACTGGAGCAAATGAGGTGGGTTTATGATGCTATTTGTCCTTTCCGAACAGTACAAGCTATATGGCTACATTTCATGCATATAGGTCCACAATCCAGAGCTATCTGCAGAGGCTCCTCTACTACATCCTTGTTTTTTTCATTGCAGAATTGGATTAAGTGGCTAGTGGGAAATAATGGTTCTGCATTTATAATTTCTTGTTTAGGATTGATGCTGTCATTTAGTAATTATATTTTGTTATGTTTACAGAAAGATTCATTGATGGAGCTAAGTTTTCACATACCTAATAACAATACCCAATATATTGGTGATGAAAATCGTCCTCCTGCTCAGGTGAGTTTCTTCCTTGTTATGACTGTCTTCTTGTTTATGGCCTGTGCATCCACTAATTTCTTGTCAATTGATTTTGTGTTAGGTTTTCCGTGACTTAATTGTGCAAAAGGCAGATGTTGGTGCTGGAGGTGAAGAAGCTGTTGTTACATTTGAGGGCATCGCAATCCTCACACCAAGGTAGAAATTGCAGACCCCAACCCACACACGGATCCATGCATGCTCACCCATGTACTTACATGCAAAAGCATAACTCATCCATGTCATGTGCTGGTTCTTTAATGTTACACTTTTAGATACATATATGACTTGTAAACTCACTTTTCAATTTAGGGGTCGGTACAGTGTTGAACTTCATCTGTCTTTCTTGCGGCTCCAAGGACAGGCTAATGATTTCAAAATTCAGTACAGCAGTGTTGTCCGCCTCTTTTTGCTTCCAAAGGTTTGCTTTTATTACCTGTTCACTTATATGCATGTGCATGTTTCTGCTTAAATAATATTATCCTCTTCCTTCTCTCTATGCTATTCAAATAATTATTTCTTTAGTGCCTTGGTGTGATTTCAATCCTGTTCACAAACTGATTACTAATGGAATCTCATGTGAACTTGATCTGTACCTTTTTTTTTACAGTATAACCAGCCACACACCTTTGTTGTTGTGACTCTTGATCCACCTATCCGTAAAGGGCAAACTCTGTATCCACATATTGTGTTGCAGGTACTGCTGATTTCATTACATTTGAAGATCTGTTTTTTTTTTTCTTGGATGTGGCTACCATTCATAATTCTATTTTGTACAGTTCGACACTGACTTTGTAGTTCAAAGCAACCTGTCAATGAGTGAAGATCTTCTGTACACAAAGTATAAGGACAAGTTGGAAACATCTTATAAGGTAATAACGTAGTTACATTCTGATGTGATCGTGCTTCATGCATTTTTCTTCTTCTTCAATATTTTTTTTCAAGAAGGTTATCATCTGTTGTGACATGTGGATATTTTAATCTGAGGAGAGATTGGCTTGAAAGTTTGTATAAAAAATTTGTTTGTGTTGTGGATAAACAGGGACTTATTCATGAAGTGTTCACCACTATATTGCGTGGATTGTCTGGTGCCAAAGTGACTAAACCAGGAAAATTTCGTAGTTGTCAAGATGGTTATGCTGTGAAGTCATCACTGAAAGCTGAAGATGGAGTTCTGTACCCACTTGAAAAGAGCTTCTTCTTCTTACCCAAACCCCCAACCCTCATTCTTCACGAGGAGGTATAGCTCTGCAAACCATATTGTTTTCCTGATTAGTTCTTTGATATGCAAATGATATACTTATATTGAATTTTTACATGTTTGTTTTAATTTTTTCTTCTTTTCATACAAGATTGACTATGTGGAATTTGAGAGGCATGCTGCTGGTGGCTCAAACATGCATTACTTTGATCTTCTTATAAGACTTAAAACAGAACAAGAGCATCTTTTCCGTAACATCCAGAGGAATGAATATCATAATCTTTTCGACTTCATAAGGTTGTTTTTTTCTCCCCTAACAACTTGATTCTACATTCCTTTTTCAGTGGCTTTACCTTTCATTTAATTGTATAGTGGGAAGGGCTTGAAAATTATGAACCTGGGAGATATGCAGACCGCAAAAGGAGTGGCTGCCGTTCTTCAGAATGATGATGATGATGCTGTTGATCCACATCTTGCACGCATTAGAAATGAAGCTGGTGACGATGAGAGTGATGAAGAGGCAAGTTCTTTTCTTTATTTTTGAATTTTGTGCTGCATCCAATTTTATTGGTAGGGTTCATTTCATTTAAATGCAGTGTGTAATGTGCATCCCTCTTGTTTCCACTTCATTTTCTACAGTTTTACTTGTGTCTCTATTTTGTTTGAGATCTAACAGTTCTTTTGCATTATGCCACTGAATCTAAGCATGGTGATGTTGCAGGATGAAGATTTTGTTGCTGGGAAGGATGATGGAGGTTCTCCTACTGATGATTCTGGAGAGGAAGAATCTGATGCCAGTGAAAGTGATGATGAGAAAGAGGCAAGCCATTTAATTTACTTTACCTTACCTTCATGCCCTATTGAAGAGAATTTGCTATATGATAATATGTTTGATTATATATATCCAATGAATGGCCAACTGCAGAACCCTGCGAAAAAGGATTTTAAAAAGGAAGCTTCATCTTCTAAGGCAACAACAAAGAGGAAAAGTAGAGATGGAGAGGAAAGCCAAAAGAAGAGAAAACCGAAAAAGAAGAAGGATCCTAATGCACCAAAGAGGTCAAGATCTGCTTACATGTTCTTCTCGCAAATGGAAAGGGAGGTGGGTTCATTGATGTTTCATTGAAATTTCTGGTTATGATTTGCTCCTTGCTTGTTTTGGGTATGCTAATTATATTATTGTGTTTGGCAAAAGAATGTGAAGAAAAGTAACCCAGGAATTGTGTTTGGGGAGATTGCAAAAGCACTTGCAGACAAGTGGAATGCTATGTCAGGTTTACATTTTTTTCTTTTCAGTTCATTATTTTGTGTCATCTTTTTTTTTTTTTTTTGCCCAGATATCTCACCTATATTAAAAATATTTCACCATATTTTTTTAACTGTTTAAATGCAGCGGAGGAGAAAGAACCGTACGAAGAAATGGCTCGAGATGATAAACAGCGGTATAAATCACAAGTCAGTGACTACAACAAGAACCCACAACCAATGATGGTAGACTCTGGATACGAGTCTGACAGTTGAATAGATTGAAGCACTATGTTCTAAGACTTTTCTTATATAGTATAAGTTTTTAATGGTTTGATTTACCTGTCTTTATGCCATTGGTCAGAGAATTGTAACACCCATTCTGTGTTTCCATGGTGCCTTATTCCTTGAATTATGCAACATGTCACGAATGAAACTTGGTAAAAACAAAAAAGGGTTGGTGTCATGAGGCATTATTGTTGGTACTTTGGTGTGTCTACTTCAGTCTGGAATTGGGTGCCTTTTCCTCCGATGAAAGACAATGACATAGTGTTATGCTAACCATCTGAGCAAGGGAATTTTCATGGCTTAGCTTCATGATATCTTGTGCAGGCTAGGACTAAGATTTGTCATTTTTTCTCCTTTTGTTATTTTGGTTGGGATGGATGTGTGGGGGACTAAAGCAAATAGCAGCACAGCTACTTTATGTTCATGTTTGTAATTATTTACTTTCCTATGCTATTTGTTCAGTGAAAGGAGTTTCTAAGTCTACTCTATTACAAGTTTTTTATTTTTATATCCTCAATATTCCCAAACTATTAAAATGTGGTTGTTAATATATATATATATATATACGTTTAAGTTTTCTAAAGCTTACGTGTATAAATTTGTTTTCTTATTCAATGAATCCAAATATTGAATTTCATACCAAATGGTAACGCGGCGTCATACTTTCAAAATATAAAATTTTTGGATGTCATAAATTTCAATAAAATTAATGCTCTCTTTTTTTTTTCCTTTTTTTGTCCTTTTGTCTTCTCGTTTGTTATTTTATTTGAAGTTCCTTCCTATGTTTTCCCTTTTGAAACACATTGAAAGCAATAATTATGATTTCTTTCCCTTTTTTTTTTAATGAAAGAACGGACACACCATGAAATCTTATTAAAATTTACCAGAAATTTTAATCAAAATATTGAACATGTAAAACAAAAATCCAAAAAACATGTAAATCGAACTGAAAAATTGAAGTTATTTTATTTTATATTAAAGAATGTGTTGATGGCATTTAAAAAATCATAAATAATAATAAAAAAAAAACACTAATTTAAACTTAATATTTAATTACTGCATTTTTGCTGTTTGTAGTTTGAAAATCTTTTTAAACTCATAAAATGTAGTACTTTTATCTCTTTTGTTGGTCCATTATGATTTCCAATTATTTATCAAAATATCATTTATTGATTTACCCGATGATCTCATAAATAATTCTATCTTAGAATTGTAAATTTTCAAATGTAATCTATAATTAATCAAATAATTGAGGTTAAAATTGAAAAAAGCATTTTTTTCTTTTTTGAAAGGGGACAAACATTATATGTTTTCCAGGAAAGAAACATATGAACAAATAAAAATATAGAAGGGTAAATAGGTAGTGTGATCAATTTCATAGTAATGTATCTCCTGTTTCCTCTTTTAAAATACCTTCATAAATACAAGTAGAAATCTCAATTTAATCCCAAACCTATATATTTATTGAAATTTTCAATAGCATCCCGTACATATAACTTTTATCAATTAGATGCCAAACGTTCCCTATATTTTTCAATTGTATCATTTGTTAATTTCTTTTAACAATTTGTCTAATATGCATATTTTATGCATTAAAATGGTGTTGATTTAAAAATAATTTGACAACAAAATTTAATAAACACTAACATTTTCAGTCTAATGTGCATATTTATGCACTAAAACTACATCAATTTGAAGCAAATTTAATAAAGTTGTTGATGAACATTAACAAAAGGACTTGGTTGAGAATTTTTTAAAAACATTTAGGACCTAATTGATAAGATATGTAGGTTTGAGACTAAATTGATATTTCCCTTAACTAATAACTATAATTCATTGTCATTGCTTTTCATGAAAATAAGGAAAACTTGTAAAACCGTTGTAAAATTTATCACAAATTGCATAAAAACATTTAGAGTAAATTTGGATCTTATTAGCTAATCCCCACTACAAGAAATTTGGCAATTAGCGATCGATTTTAGCAATGGATTCTATCCCGTCTCTAATTAGTGATATATTAACGACGGATTAGCGACCAACGAGAAAAAGTTGACATTTGCAATTGATTAGCGACAGATTAGCGAGGAAAAATTAGCGATGAAAAGTTCTCTATCGCAAATTAATGTAGCAAAAAAAAAAAAGCGCCACATTTAGCGACGGATTAGCAACGGAACATCATCACTAATTAGCTATGGAAGACGATCCGTCTTGCATCGGACGTTAAAATAGCGACGGAATATTTTGTCGCTAGAGCAAGAAGATTACTTGAGGAAAAAAATAGCACACATTAGAAATGAATTCACAATCCGTCAATAATTTTGGGTTGGGTGGGAATTTTCCCTCCAAAAGCCTCAAAACATAGCGATGGATTTCCAATCCATTGCTATTTTGTAGGGATGGGCGAGAATTTTCCTCCCAAAAGCCCAAAAATAGCTATGAAATCCTAATTCCATTGTTATTTTGGTGCATTTTAGGGGGAATTTTCCCCTAAAAATACTCCAAATTAGCGACGAAAGTGGAATCCGTCACTAATTGGCTAGGGATTAGCAACGGATTCGTATCCATCGCTAATTTCTCTTTAAATCCCCCTCTTCCTTCTTCTTCGCCTATTCGGCTCCCCCTCTCCTCCACCAAAAACCACCACCCACGCCACCAAGTGACTCCCCAAATCGTTCAACAAAGTGAGGTACATCTTTCTCTCTCGAAATCGGACTAGAATTGTGCTCTCTCTCCTAATCTCTCGGGTAAAACTTTCTCTCTCTAACTAATATGTTTTTTTTTTTAAATTAAATAAATGTTATAAATTTCTTAGATTAATTTTGTTATTTGTTAGTTGATTAATTATTTGAATGTTGTTAATTTTGTTATTATGTTAATTTTTAATTATGTTAAGTTGTATGCTAATTATTAGTATAAATTTCTTAATTGTTTATTTAATTTTCTTAACTTCTAGATTAATTTTGTTAAGAGTTATTTTTTAGTTATGTTAATTTTTAGGTTGATTTTTATGTTAATGGAAAAATAAAATTTTTTAATTATGTTAATTTTTTAGGTATAATTTTATTAATGTAGTTTTTTTATATATAATTTAGTTAAGGTTGATTTATTGTTAATTTTTAGCTTAATTTTTAATTATTTAATCTTTAATTATTATTTTATAATTTTTAATTAATTATTTATTTATTTGTGCTAATTATTGGCTTATTTTGAATATAAAGCATAGAAGTAATTGTTATACTTTAATTATTAAAATTGAAAGAAGCTAACATGCATAATGATTTAATCGTTTGAAAATTAAAAAAAAATTGAAATAAAAATGTAATTGGAAAATAAACATAAATGTTTAAATTTAATAAACATTTTATTAATTAATAGAATTTAATAAACATTTTATTTAGGAATAATTAAATTAAATTTAGTTGAATTTATTATTAAATTAACTAGGAAAATTTAATAAAAATAAACACTTTTAGCTTCAAAATAGTTAAAATTTCATATAATTTAAGTGAAAATGAAAAATTTTAACTTAATCCCTTAATGAGGAACCCATTCGGCCCAAACATTTTAAATTTAATCCCTAAATTTTAAATTTAATTAATTAATTTATACTTAAAATAATGTAATTAGATGAGGTAGAATGAGAAATCACATTTAAATTTAAAAATTAGCTTCAATTACCTAAATTAGGGTTTAGGCCCAATAAATTTGGAGTTTATGCATGTAATTGATTAATAAATGCCTAATTGAGTTAGTTTAGGAATGATTGAATGAAATTGTATGAAAAATTGGTGTTGAAATTGAAAGTAAATATTACAAAATTAAGTATTTAAGAATTAAAAAAATAAAAAATGTAATAATTCTTTAAATATAAATTCAAATTCTTAAAACAAAATTCATAACTTATTAAAGACAATTACACAACTAATATATATATTTAATTTTTATTTAAAATTCATAGGAATAATGATAAGTAATTGTTTGTATTGGTTGTACCATTTTTGCAATAATTACAAAAAATGAAATCGATGGATAATGGATGAATGTTTGGTTAGTTAATGGATTGTTAAATGATGACTTTGTTAAAGGTGTAGAAATTTTTTTAGCTTTTTCTATTGAGCATCCCGAATGTATGGATGGAACCAAAATTAGATGTCCTTATAATTTCGGTAATTGTCAAAACCAAAATTATGAAGAGGTTGAAATGGTAAAATATCATTTGTGGCATAAGAATTTTGTGTCGGGATATTATGATTGAGTACATCATGAAGAATTTGAAACCTATATGGCATTTGAAAATTATAGGAGTCAATATGTTTCTAGAAACTATTATGTAGGCGAAGGTGGTTTCGATGAATCCCAAAACCCTTATCAAACTATGGTAATGGATGCAATAGGTCAATCCTTTGATCCATTTAACACGGATGAGGTTCCTAATCCTAGCATCCAACACTTTTACAATATATTGAATTTATCGGATAGAGAGATTTGGTCTAGTTGTAATGAGCACTTGCAATTGTCGGTAGTTGCTTGAATGCCGAACCTAAAAGTCGAATATCATTTTCCAGGTGAAATGTTTCGATCGGTTATGTGAGCTAATAAAGGAGTTGATGTTGGGCGATAACTCGTATGATAGATAATTTTTACGAAACAAAAAAGCTAGTTAAGGGGATGGGTTTACCGATGAAAAAAATTCATTATTGTCGGAATGGGTGCTTGATTTATTGGAAGGAAGACAATGGATTAGATAAATGCAGATTTTATCAACATTCTTGATATGGAAGTTCTCGTCGAGGATCAAGAAGAGGAAAACTTGTTCTAATTATGAAAATGTACTACTTCCCTCAAACCCCATGTCTTCGGTGATTGTATGCATCGAATGTAAAAGTTGAGCACATGACATGACATCCCGAACATAGGGGAGATGATGCAAGAGTAATGCATCATCTATTCGATTCTATTGCATGGTAAAGTTTCAATCGAATAATCTT